ACATTCGCAAATATAACGGACACTTTCTACAGGATTGTTAGCCCAGTTTGTCACAGGTTACAGTATTGCTGTCATATTCATTTGTTACTCTCAGAGCTATAAGGCAATACAATGGTAGTTTTGTTACAACAGAGTGAACATTGTAAATTACTTGTACAGTTGTTATTATATTTACAATTTATTTGATCATTTCATAGGAAACAGTTATAGTTTTTGGCTAGAGTAGATAATGTATAGTACCATAGAATCCAGTAGAGTTATATTTAAAAAGGGGCAAGGGAAATAGAAATTCAAACTTCCCTGAAATAGAAATATGTGAGATGGTAAAAAAGAATTCTTCCCCCCACATTATCTACTCTACAATATTACAAGCTATTGTGGCTGTCAGTAAAGTGAGTTATTTGATTCACAGCAGATAGTAAGATTTTTCACACCACATATCTAGGCTCTCTTAGGCCTGCCATTGGATGGATATAAGGTCACATAACATAAAACCAACAACTTACCTCTTTACCTTCTTTTTGTGACATAGTGCTTAGGAACAGTGATAACTTTACATTAAAATGAAGTGTGTTCCAATAGAACTGCATTGATTGAATGTATACAGACAGTTGGTAACTAAAATATCAACATTTCAAGTCACCTGCCTTTTCTCTTCTTCCCATCTCATCTTTGTCTTGATCTAGGAAAACTATATAGCTCCATGGAGCAGAGTCCTTCTCGAGATGCTGATAATACACTCGCCTAGTCGAGAAATTGCCTACCTTTTTTTGGGACCTAAAGGCTCATTACCATGTTCACACGTAACATTTTTCCACTGTAGAAAACCAGCATGTTGCAAAATGTTACACAGGGCCTCAATACAAGCATATCAAAAGAATCTAGAAAGTCTATATGTGTAAGTCGTAATAAATGATACAAAATAACCACAATAATGTATTCATACAGTGTCTTAATTAGTCTGTTAGGTCAAGTTGAGTTAAACATAATTAGGTAATGAATTTACTCAGTTGAACTAATGGTAATTCAGTTTTCTTCCCTGTTTGTATATGAAAGTAATCCATGCATCAGTGTGCACATGGAATTTTTGCATGATATGTCTCTTTGTTGTTTGCATGCTCCAATAACCAGCCAGCCATGCATATCCTCCCTAGGGATGACCAAGCTGTTTGAATATACATGCCATATTTCCTTCGTTAAGTGGTACTGCAGAGCTCAACTCAGATACATGTTATAACTGTTCACTGTGCTAATCCTGTGATGTGTGTTGGGAGAATTCTGGTACTGCCTTAATTTATCACAGTTTTTGGTTTGAATTTGTTATGTGTGTTGTGTAGTGCATAATTTCCATAAATAGTTGTCACACCAGACAAATTATTTTTGGGAGGCCTCCATCTGGTTAGAATTCAGTTTTATCTTGTCTTGTTGGATCAGTCTTCTGCCTAAAAATGTACACATTTGCAAAATATTCTCCATTTGTTGGAATGTGATTTGGATTCTGACCTTGTTCCATTCTGGTATTTTTTCCTGCTTATGTTCTGAACACCTTCTTCCCAGGTTCATGGGTTGCTCTGTCTCTAGGTATTTTCCTTGTCTTACTTGTCATCTTTTCTTAATATATCTTCCATTTGCCATGCTAAATATACTCTAACCATTTGAGCTGTGAATTTTAGTGGTTTGACATCTACCATTGCAGTAGCTGAACAGAGGTCATGGTTTTAGCATAAGTTAAATTTTAAGTGTTGTGTTAATTCTAAAGAATATTTATAACTTGTACTGTCTAAAATGTTATCACATTTTTCCTGGAAGAGGATGTTTAGTGTTGGACAAGAAAATGTACATTTACTGATTGCAGATTGGTCACTCCTGCTCTTCATTATTGTTATTAGTCCACATCCTCTCAGTAACACAAACCATATGCTGCTTACTGGCTTTGACCCTCCACATGAATGCTGTATTTTTACTTAGTTGTGTTTAACACTGTCCACTTCATAAGCTCCATACTATGAAAGCACATACAAGTAGGATTTGAGGTTTTCATGGCAGTGAGTCTGAAGATGGCTGTCTTCTGGCTTGTTGTGCCGTGTAGTCTGGTAGAAGTTTACTGAGATTTCAGAGGTCCTTGCAACCTCCATAATCAGGGTGATGATCATTCTGATGATGGAGGCAGCAAAGACCTCTGAAATGTCAGTAAACTTGTAGCAAACCACACAGTGCAACAACCCAGAAGACAGCCATCTTCTAAGTAGGATCATGCTTTCTTTCTGGACTCAAGTATTAGATAAAGACAGTCTGTTTCACTGTGGCCACTTCAGTCATGAGGAAGGAGCACCTGGCACCCACTGGTTAGAAGGATGGGAAGGTCCCAAAGCTGATCTGGACATGATGGAAAATAGAAAAATTGCAAAGCCTCTGGTGGGAGTTGAATCTTTGTCATGCAGTTTACAGCCTGTGGCTGGTGACAGCTGTTCTGGTTCAATGTTGAGAGTGATGTAGTGATGAACAATCCTAAATGTGTTGTCTATATTCTTATGTTATATTAGTTTCAAAGCCATTTATAAAAAGTGGTCAACAGCTATTGGAAAGTTCACATAAAGTTTGTTAGCATTTGGCTTTTATATTCACAGCCATATTTAGTGCACACTAGGATAGCATTACATCTGACAAAGATTTGTTATAATATATTTTCCAGGTCCAGATTTTCCATAATGTTTGTTAGCAGTTTTTTCCATTAACATTACAGTTTCAGATTCTAGTGGGATTATAGATAATATTGGAAGATGGATTCTATCATAGTGTTGTAACCTTGTGAACTGAAAATCCCCAACAGGCTGCATCCATTATTGTTATTGCATTATTTATTCATGTTGCAATTTATGTTTGTGTTCAGTGTATCTATAACAGTTCAGTAAGTTATTACATTGCAAAAAATGGCTGAATGTTTAGTGAAGGGTGCATGAAAATTGTAAATATTTTAGCAATAATTATACTTACAGACTTGATATGTAAATAACTGATTAAAACGATTTTTAATATTAATGTATTTGTTAAGTTTTTAAGAATTATTTTTATAGCTCAGTAGCTGAGTTGAACACAAGAATGTTAAAAACATGCCTTTATTATTCAGTTTGGCTTGTTTTTTAATGTAAACTAATAATATATTTCAAATATTTAATAACTATAGTTAGTAATTTGAAGGTTAGGGATATATTTTACACTTGTCTAATCAGAACTAAGAAATGAGACTTTTTGTTAATGATGTTTATAGAGAAGAATAGTCCAGTATTATTATATGTAAATTTGAATTAAAGCTTATTCTGTCATAAAATTTGTTGAAGTGTACTGTTAAATGTTTAAAATTCGTTCTGATTAAAAACTGAGTGGCATCAGAAACATTTTATTGTATTACTGAACCAGAAAACATTATTTTATGTCCAGTCAATCCTGCTGTTTCTGGAAACATGAGTGAAAGTCTGGCAAGCAGTTGCTAATACAGGAAACATTTGTCTTCTTGTATTCAGTGGTACATCTTCAAGGAGACATGGCAAGTGTCTTAAGAATCGCTGATATGAAGGTCCACTTAGTGATGGAAGCATGTGTGGACCAATAAGCATGTCACCAACAATTCCTGCACAAACGTTAATTAAAAATCTTTGCTGGAAGCTAGATTCACTTTGATATAAAGTCACTCTGTATTTAAAAAGTAAAGAGTAATGTGTACTTCTGTGTGGTGTATTATTATTAACTCTGTCAGCAACAGAATTTATGATTTTGTGCATTGTGATACTTGTACAATTGATTAGCTCTGCAAATAGTTCAGTTGCTTTTGCAGTAAATGAATGTTACACCAAAGAGGGAAGTAAAATTAGAGTATGCACTTGGACACTGTGGAGTACACCTGTCCACACTTCCTTATCTTGGCTATTTTGTGATGCTGTATCAACTGCTGAGATTATGTAACAATGAGTGAAGGAGCAGGTGATTGTGAATGATTAATGGGGAGGGATATTAGAAATAGTAGTAGTCACAACTTACTTTAAGGTATATTTAAATCTTATGACATGAAGGCTGTTCAGTAACTTCTGACAGTGTTTTACACTCATATTTATTACATTACACAATGTCCAAAAGAACAGAAAGGACGTAACCTCTATTTCTCAACATAATTTGAAGAACAACTGAAGCATTTGTCCCAGTGACATCTTAACATTAACTTCAACATTATGTTGGAAATATTTTCCTTCAAAGCACTTCTTTGGTGCAACTGCCATAGTAAACATTTAAAAGTTTTACTGTACTACCCATGCTGCACATATTGTGTGTTACACTTCAACATTAAATTGCCTGTCCCACCAGTATACTCTGTTACAGCTGCATATTAATGCGTGAAGCAATGGTGTATTATCAGTTTTTTAGTGGTGTTTGTAATGTTTATCTGCTTGTAGCCCTATGTCTATATATGACACTTGGATTCTGAGACAGGATACAATAGTTGAAACCACTAAAGGAACACTTAGGCCCATCTAGCTAGCTAAACCCAAATGTGGGGTATTTATTTGACAGCTGAAATAGTTATGCAGATGGTCAGTAACTCCGTGTTATAGACTATGAAGACTCAGCCCTATCTGCTCAGGTCTCCAAAAGTATCTTATATAACGGGATTCCAACCAGAATTTTGTATATATTTAATGTTTTTCCTGAATTCTACCATAAACTTATAAAAGTTTTGCTTGTGTATAAAAAATTCACTTCAAAGTTCCATTGAAATTCGTTGTGCCGTTCAGTTTTATAGCTGTTAAAAAATGTAACTGGTTGCGACACCCGCATCTATGGGCAACTATTTCGGCACTACAAGAACCATAGACAACCATCTGGCCTGTCTGATTTTCCATAAGTTTACATACACTGTATGGCATTTGATGTTCCCAATGTGGCAAAGATGCCATTGTTGGTCTTCTGGGTAGTAACATCTTGTGGGTTTAAAGTAGATACGTTTCGAATGAACATACTTCCCAGAAAATGAGGCAAAATGTTCTTCCGAAACGTTTATATCTACGTTGTACATCCACAGGCGTTACTACCCAGAAGACCAATAATGATAAACGTAAATTGTATTAGCATTTGTGCAGTTAAAAATAATGTCTCACTTTACTTTAGTTTGTCAAATTAATTTGTAACACAAATGCGGAGCTCAACAAACCTACTTCCAGTCATAGATACTTTAATTCGAAGTAAATAGCCTAATACGTCGACTTTACAAACAGTAGTTTACCGAGCTCTAAGTATGGAACCACGTAGAACACATATTACATGTAGAACGCATCCATTTATTTACGTCTATTGCGGCTTTGTGGTTTTCAAGATGGCGGATATGTTGCGATTATGTGAGAAGCTTGTCATGGTAAATGTAAAAATATTTATGTAATATTTAGTTTGCAAGATGTCCCAGTAACATACTATAAAGTATGTGGCATTTCTAATTTTTGACACGTAAAGTACACTGATTGTACATTTTCATCCTGTTTTGGCAGGTTTGAATGTCATTTACTGAGGTGGAAGCTGATTTCATCCTGTCATGGCGAGAAATATTCGGCTGCTGCAACGAACGGTAGGATAAATATTTATCTGTTATGAAAAGCAGAAAAAATAGACATGTTCGGCTCCTATAAAGATGCCACGTCCTGTTATAATAACCAGTCTATTTTTGAGAATCGCAATCAGGCCTCTTTTCCACCAGGAGAGTCCTCCAAACAAACATCGGGTCCTCCGTGGGATTACTCTCAACAGGCCTTCAGTACTGTGCCTTGTTATACGGGGGACCAGACCATGAATCATAGACATACAGCTGCCATCCATAATTCTCAAGTGGTGTCTCAGTATGAGAATAAAAATATTCTTGCTCATTATAGAAATATAAGTACAGGTAGTAATAGTAATCAGTCTGTTGTCAGGCCTAGAGCAGTGATCAACTGCCAGTCCAATTGTAATGCATGTTACAATCACTCTGTTGCAAGAATTCCTCACCCCTGGAATCCACCCTCAGCAGAAAGTATGCATTACATTACTGGAAACTCGGCAGTGTCCTTGCCAGGAGATGAGATTCCAAGATTTGCACCAAATTTAGCTGGTTTTTCTCAGCATGAGGACTCTTCGCATCATTTTACAAGTGGTTTTGCAACTCAGCTTACGAAACTGTCAAAGTTTGCAAAAGATCCTTCTCCAGGTATTTTGTCCACAGCAACACCAAAGAATGACATTCTTTCACCTGTAGAAGATTCTAGTGTTCTCAGGCCTCAGCACCATCCATCAAGAGTGGAACCCATATCAGAAAAGTACATTCCTCCTGTCCCAAGTGAAAATACCCCAGCCAAAAAGGACTCCTGTGTTGCTTGCCATGGTGTATGTGCTAGGCCTAATTGTAAGTTATACGAACAACAGACAGTGAAATTCCCCAGTCTTGAACCTATTTCCATCCAACAGTATGGAGTGTCAAGAGAAAATGTGAGATATACTAGACATTCAGTACCAACATTAAATGGTGGAAGTTCATCTTGCAACCAGTGGCATCAGTCACCAGGGCTGTGGCTGCAAAATGGCCATCCACCAGGCTTCTGGATGCCTGCATCAGAAGATATACATAGCATGGGAAATGCAGGCATGACAAATTTCTGGAGTGATCGAAGCAGTTGTGAGATTTCTGGCCAGCAAATGCCCCTGCCCCCAAACTATCATGACAGATCTTCTAACAAATCTGCAAGTCAGATGAGGAGCCACCTACCATCACAGCAGCAGAAAGGAGGGGGAACTTTGCATGATGGAGAAAGAAATGATAAATTGCGACAAAATATGTTCCAGCAATATCAGAAAGTTTCTGAGATACCACAAAGATATTCAGAAATGTCTGTGAGACAGAAGAGTCCAGAAGAAATGGCTGTGTCACAGGTATATCATGAGCTGTTGCCACGAAGAAGCCAGCAGCATGAGCCGTTGGTGGAATGTGGGATGCCATATCGACAAGATGTTATTCAGAGGCATCAGACACAGGTGGTGAAGTCACACATGGAGATTCAGAGCAACAAGGATGATAGAGGTCTTCACGAACATCCCAATACCATCACTTCAGAATTACGCCATCAGGATATTGCCAGGTCACATATCAGCTCAAATGGAATCAATTCAGGTCCGGTATTGCCAAATTTCCCTCCTACCTCAACAGAAATGCATACAGACCAATCACAGCAAGATATTTTGAGAAAGTATCCAGTGACCAACTTTGCTGCATATCCACCTCATGATGCTAAAGTTTCTGCTTCTTCCTCTTCAAACTATTCAACTGTACTTGGGATTGCACAGGCACCATCACGGTTCAGCTCAAACGTAACTTATACTCAAAGTAAGATATCCAGAAGTAATAACTATATGAGATTGTTTTCAGAACCGTGCCTGGAAGACTCATTCGGTCCATCTGGTGCTCGTGATGTGAGCAATGGTTTTGTTTCAAACAGCAGCACTGTTACAGTAAACTCAGTAGCAACTACAGGTCCCTCACATCAACAAATGCCTTACCATAACAAAGAAATTTCAAATACTGGAATGAACTGCTCAGTACAAATTCAATCTCCATCTAATAATACATTATCATCAGACTCCATTCTTAGGTATGGTAGCATGAAGGACTCAAGTAAAGCCCCTGTTGTTATTACAACCAGTACCAATGCTTCTGCTGCTACAGCTCGGATTTCTCCTCATCTGCAGTCGTGTGGCAGGATGTCTTCTGATAATATCTCTTCATATCACAGTGGCAGTGCAACAATGCAGGTGGTTGAGAATGACCCTTCATGCAGCCTAGGAAACTCTGCAGGACTCAATATGAATCCCAAAATTCTAAATAGCTCATCATATATCATATCACCACCCCACAGACGAGAGTCAGTGCTTGCAGGATCTCAGCATGTGCCCTATCAGAATTTTTTAGCAGGTGTTAGATCAGAGAATGTGCCTACATGTAACATGTTTCGTGGAAATAACAGTTCCATGTTGCATTCAGGTTTGTTTGATGATTTTGGTAAGAATTACAACAGTGCCCATATTTTAGGGACAAAAGCAGACATGCTTATTCGGCCATCCAAACAAAACTCTCAGATCATACCACCCAACATTTATTCCCAAAGCAACATGTCTGCACCAATTGGTGGTGTTGAACAACAATTATTACCACAAATGGATGATATGGGTTCCAGTCGTCCTATCAAGAAACGCAAACCCCACACTAAAGGTAAAGATAAACGTGATCGAGTCCAATTATTAGGGAAGCATTGGCATCAGGGAAGAAGCAGTCGACAAGCGGCATTGGCTCCTGTACTTGACGTGCGACAGTTTTTAGCTACCTGGGATGAGGAGACAGATAACCTGTCACCAGCTCCACAGTTGCCAGATGTTGTTCTCAGTAATAGTTCTACAGAAAATCCATTGCTAGTGCTGGATTGCAGAAATCTTAATACTAATGGTGTTGCAACATTATCAACAGTTGACAGAAATTCATTATCAGATGGCAGTCCTACTGAAAATTTAATTCATATGTACCAGCAACATTTGGCAAGTCCATCAGAATCCAGTATTGCTAGTAATGATACTGTGAAAAGTAACAGTCAGACATTGCAAGAGAATTCGGATGTCATGGCACAATCTCTGGGAGAATGTCCAAGTTTAATTCCAATTGATCCTGACAGACTGGAAAAATTTGGACCATCAGACAACTGTATTAAGTCTTCACCTGAGCACAGAACATTTGAACATGATAAACCTTCTTTCCATCAGAGACAAGAAGGTGAACCATCCACACAAATTGATGTCAGTAAAAGCTCTGTTAGTAAATCTGATATAGTTGATGGTTTGGTAGAGGCATCAACAATTTCTGTGATTGATAAAATCCACAACAGTCTGGATAATATTACCACACATTCTGTTATTTCTGACAACATTCCAGTGCGTGACTGTCATACTCTGGCTGAAAGCTTATCATCACAAACAAGCCCTTTGCCTGAAAATTGTGATAGCTTTAATGAAATTCATGAGAAATCCAATGGTACTGATTCAGAGAACAGTGTTGTGGTTCAAGATGAATCTAGGACAAGTGATGATGATATTCATCAGGATGTACAATTAAAATCCAAATGTGAGTCAAAAAATGATGACTGCTTGAATTCAGATCAAAAGATGCCATTATCTTACAGTGAGATTCAGCATATGGGTCTTATCAGGTCATTGGAAAAGAAACATGCAGATTACCACCAGAGTAGAAAAGGTAGGACTCAAAAATTACCAAGTTTGATAAGTAATAATAGGATAGTTGTTCATACATTGAAGGCTCTTTGTAGATCTATGATTGAACGCAGCACAGAAATGCAGCAGACATTTGAGAAACAGATTTGTTCATATGAGAAAACATCGGTTACAAATTCTTCTGCAGGAGAAATTACAGTTTTAGGAACAGAACTGTTTGGCACTTTGTGTGATAAAGAAGTTGAAAAGACATGTGCTGAAAGTAGCTCCTCAGTTTTAGACACAAAGAATATTACAAAAATATCTTGTTCTTCAGAAAACAGTTACACCAAAAATTTAACCGTACGTTTGTCAGAATCCACAGAGCTGCCATCTTTATCAAACCAAACAAATTATGTTTCACATCCAAAAATTCAACTTAAGAAGAAACCAAGTGCTAATAATAAAGCATTGTATGAGAAGACTGAAAATACCAGAATAGCAGAAAAAGATGTGAAGTCATTTACACATGATATGCTGATGAAAGAGAAAACTCCCAAGGAGACCAGTACACATACCTCAGAGATCTCTTATTTAGAATCAAATAATGTAACTCAAATTATTAACAATAAAAAAGCAACTAGTGATCCTGCTCTGAAGTTATTTGACATAGCACTGCATTCAAGTAGGTTTAATACCAAAACTGTGAGTGAAGATGCATTAGTAAATACTGATATTGTCCCAGCACATTCACCTTCCAGTCCTAACATGACTGAAAACGAATTGTCCAATACCCACTTATCTCAGAATAGTATAGAACAAGACATCACAGAAAATAAACCAGTTATAACAGAAGAAGAAAAATTAAGTGAACAAGATGTGAAGAGTGGTTCTACAGAACCAGTTGAACTTAACAAAAGTGGAAGGGGCTTACATGATGTCAGTGTTTCAGTCACCAGTGAATCGGAGACAAACCAATTGAACCTGTTTTCATACTCAAGTGATCTTGGAGAGGACTTGGATATGTCTGTTACATCTAGTACACCAGCTACTCCTGTCAATGTGGAAGAAGTGGAAGAAGAATCTGGCAGTGAAGAGTTAGAAATGATGTATCAGGGCTCTGTTTTGTCTGACTTGGATAGTGACATCAGGTTTCAGTCTCATGACTGCATTTCATTTTCAAGTTTACCTTGTATATCAAAGAAGCCTGCTTGTGAAGATGATGAACATTCTTGCCATTCCTTAGGCATATTAGAAAGTTTAGACAAATCCCATGGATTTCTTGGAACTCCAGGTGGCAATATTCAGTGTCCAGGGGAAGAAAATATTGATTCTGAAGTCTTGAGTAATAGCAAGGGGGGAGTAGTTGGAATGTGTGCATTGAAATTTTCAGATAAGACTTATAATAATAAATGTGTATTGGTGTCTTCTAGTCAGACAGAATCACTAGGAAATAACACTGAACTTTTATCTTGTTCTGAAAGCAGTTTGGATATTCCTGTTAGTTGTGTTGAAGATGCACGAACACAGTCAATAAAATTGCCACCCTGTCTACTGCTAGAAGTGAATCATGAATCAGATTTACTACCCGACAGGATTCAGGATGTTAACAAAGTGTCAGATGTATCATTTTCTCATACTGTTGTGCTTGGTAAGACAAAATCAGATGGTACGTCCATAGAGAGTGATGAAAAGGTGCAGTTAGAATCTGAAGGAAAAAGTTCCACAGAGTTCAAATCAGCGGCTGATAATTCTGCTGTGGAAGCATGCAAAATTCTGCATTGTGTGGATCCAGTGAATGATATTCTAGAGGAGAAATTCAATTGTTCTCATGATAGAACCAAAGTTGATTGTATACTTGTTTCTAAACCTGATGATTGTGAGAAAGATAACATTTCTAATCCACTGCTTTGTGCTATACCTGCTATCACATTAGATAGTAATCATCAGATTGAAGATACTAATGCTGTTGACGAAACGTTACCTCATGCACCATCAGACACCAAAGTAGTGTTGTGTGAAGAACTTGACTTGAAGGGTGCTGAAAATAAAATGGATTTTTTGTCTAAAGAGGTGTCACTGGATGTAAGTGTGAAAAACATATCAGCAGCATCTATTCATTCTGTTAATGGAGATCATTGTCTGCTGGTGGGTAAGGAATTAAGACAGAGAAAAGATTGTTTGCTGTTGAATGATAATACTGTAGTGCAGACATCTTCATCATTTTCAGACAATCCATTGACTCCTGGCAGAAGTGAAGTTGCACTTTCTGATTGGGAAGGGACACTCAGAGTAGATGATGAGTTTCAAGATGCTGAAGTTCCATCATGTGGTCATTCTGAAATACTTTATGGTTATCACTCAAAACAATTGGTAATTGAAGAAACTGATAATGAAATAAGTGAAGTTCTTCCATTGCTGGAAGGAAGTACTTGTAGTGAAAGTTTGGAAATTTCAAAAAATTATGCAACTGTCAAGGAATCAGTTTTAGAAACCACAGTAAGCTGTCCAGAAATTGTTATCCATGTGATGAAAGAGAAAGAGATAAATCCTGTTTGTGGTGGATCAGAAGTTAACCAGCTACTTCATTGTGACTGTAATGTCAAGGAAGTACCAAATTCTAAAACATCTTATGACATAAGTCCAAAATCTCCTTCTGTACAACCTTCCAGTCCAGATATGACAATCAGAGATCAAAATCTGTCTCAGACTCATGAGAATAGTATGGGAAGACATGCACCACACAAAGAAGACAGTTCCAGTTTGTATGTAAAACTCATAAGTTCTTCTGGTCATAGTTATAGCAGATCTGTAGTTCCGTTGGTTTCTGAAAGTCAGACTATACCAAAACATGTTTTACTACATCAGCAGAAATTCTGTGACAGTAATGGTGAAGACAAATTACCCATAGCAGCAACAGGAAATGAAAATAAACAGAATTGCAAGCCGATTTGTGATAAAAGTAAAAACACTGAAGAACTTCAGAACAAAAATTCACTACTTATTACTGGCGCTAAATCAGCCACTATCCAGGATAACGTATTGATACTGAGTTCCCAAAAAACTGTAGAACTAAAATCTTCAACAGGGCATTATCAAACGTCAGATGAACTTGAAAGTGAGATTGCGGCTCATGATTATCAGGTGATTGATTGTGAGCTTCAATCTGCAGTCACCAAATTACCTTTTCAAGATGCAAGTGTGGCAGACTGTAAAACATGTCATCTTGATTCTCTTAATTTATCAAAGAACACCAGTTCTGAAAGGCAAGAAGACAGCAGTCCAAAAGAGAAATTGATTACAGGAATCAATGGCTCACCTGATGATACTGAATCCCAAAATATGGAACATTTGCAGAAAAATGTTATCAACATTTCTTATACTGAGCAAAATATTGGTACAATCATAGGAAGTGTCGCTGATGATGTCTCTAGGGTAGACAGTTCCATAACTGGTAGTGATGGAGACATTTCCTGTTTGGAACAAAATGTAGTTGGTAGTGTGACTGCCACTGGTGTTTCTGATCCTGTTGTTGATGACGATGATGGCGATGATGCTGCTGTTACCACTACAGTTGTTGCCGTTGTCAGTCATGAAGATGGTGGTGATCATGATGCTGTTCCTGGTAATGCTGATGCTACCACTGGAGACCATTACGATGGTACTAATTCAGATACTGATGATGTTGCCAGCACTACCACTACTGCTTTTACTGCTTCCACTGATAGTATCCATGATTATGATGATGCAGAAATTGGTAATGATGGTGTTGCTGTTAGCACTGCTGCTTCTGCTGCTACCACCACTACTGACGAAGCTGATACTGCAGGAAACGTGGTTGCATACACCTCTTGTAAAGACCAGAGCAAAGTTACATGCCTGAATCCATGTGTGACTGATGCTGATACCACCACCGCCACCACCATTGTGGGTGATGCTAATACTACTACTGCGGTCACCACTGTGTGTAATGCTGATACATTTGCTGATACTACCAGCACCATCACCACCACCATTGCTAGTAGTACTGTTAGTAGTGCCACTGACATCACTCCTGATGATACAGATGATGCTAATACTGCCGATGATAAAGTTGATGTTCATATTGCTTCTGTCATCACAGTTGCTGCTGTTGCTACTTCTGCTACCATTACTACTGTTACTATCACTGCTGCTGCTGCCACAACCACCACCCCCACCTCCTCTGCTACCACCACTTTTGCTGCTACTACTACTACTACTACTACTACTGCCACAGCTGCAACTATTACCACCAATGATGATTGTGATGGTAGTGGTGGTGGTGGTGGTGTTGGCAGCAGCAGCAGCAGCAAGGACAGTGGAGTTACAGAGTCACTAGTGAGTTATGCTGTGGAAGAGGACTGGCAGTATGAAGCAAACATTCAGTGTGTCAGTATTAATCAGATGGCAAGCAGGTCACAGGAAACAGAACGGAATGGTGCAGGCATGGAACAGAGACACATTACGAGCTTGGTCACATCAGGTTCTGTTACTGTGGAAGAAGAAGACACTGTCAAATTGTCTGTTAGTACAACAGAAAATCAAAAATGTTATCAACCAAAAGGAAAACTTGGGACCACTTTGAACATAGAATTGGAACCAAACTGTAAATTATCAGCTGAAGTCAATCATAATGAATCACAGAAATCTATCACTCCATGCAAAGGACCAACCAGCCCTGCATACTCATCACATGGTACATGTCACACTGAATGTGATTATACAAGAAAATTGCTTGGTGATCCTAAAACTGCAGAGAGCAAGTCCCAACAGCAAGATAAATCAACTCTGGAGGAAATTAGTCATGAAATGGACAGTGTTGCAAATCGTGTTAAACCTTTGCAGCTACAGTGCCAGTTTACAGTGGAGCCAACTAAAGATGAATTAAATAATTATGTACATAAGCTGCATGGTGATTCAAGTGCTTTTTCTTTTCGGGAAGAGTGCCTTTCTCTGGAGGAAATGCGTAATTCCTTATTAGACATGACTCATGATGTACCTGTGCAACAGGAACACTACTGTTTGGAAGACTCAGTTAAGGATGAAATTTGTAATTTTGAATTAAACGTGCCTGCAGACACACCTGTACAACCTGAATTTAAATCTTCCAACAGGATAATAAAGGATGAAATTAACTGTGAAATAAATATCGCTTCAGGCAATGTATCCATACCTCATGAATATTATTCTCCATTGGAATTAAACAAGGAAGAAATTGGTGATTTCAAGATAAATATGCCAGAAAATGTTTCCTGTTGTTTGTCCGCAGAGCAAGACTCTTCAGAAGACTTAGATAAGGCTAGAATTGCCAGTTGCACTTTGCATATATCTGCAGAGTCATCTCTTAAAGAGGAATGTCTGTCTGTTCAAGAGATCAACAGCAAACCAAATTCACCAATAAGTGAAAACTCAGAACTGGTCCAGAATAACACACTTATTCTTACAAACACTGAGAGGACTGTGGAGCTAGTACAGAGCAATATGAGTACTCAGAACTCACCCCACAGGCAAGAGGCAGACCTTTCAGTTGATACAGATGATATGCCACACCTTGAAGTCATTGACAGAGATGTTTCACCAAACAGCTCTGATTCATTGGAAATGCCATGCCTTGAGCTTATCACAGACTGTGTGCAGCCAATGGGAAGTGATGTGCAATGTCCTGGTGATATTTCTGCATCTGCAAGCAGTGTACCTCCATTACACATTTTTCCAGAGAGCATTCATACAAATGCAAAGGGAAATTCAACAGAACTAGGAATTAATGATGCAGAAGAGTTACAGGAAAATGACAGCCTAACGTTAAAAGTAACAATGTTAAGCCAACATTCTATGCATGAATCAGAACATCACAGGAATAGAGAGATGTCTGTTCATTCACAGGACCAGGTAATAAATTCAACAGACATTGAACTGCCAAAGAAACATTTATCATCTGTGTCAACAACTGGTAAGACTTATTTTGGTTTGGAAGAGGAAAATTTCACTGAGGACTTTGTGATACATGAAGATCCACCAGTAGAAGGTCACATATTATCTGTATCTCATAATACTGATGTGTTGCAAGATGACCAGAAAAGATATTTATCAACAGAATCATTAGTGACAGAAGAATGTGGTGGCAGTATAGTGAAAGCTGTGGAATGTGAGATACAAGAGGTGTCAGTTACCCCAGAAACACTGCAGGACATTTCAGGTTACCTAGATTCAGGCACTGCCTCAGTAAAAGTGGTAGAAGTAAGTCCAGAATACATGCAAGTCTTGCATACTGATGTGTCAGGTGGGTGGAATTCTGTACATTTGGTGACTTCAGACATGACATGTTCTACATCTTGTGAGAAAACACAGACAGATACCAAAGATATCTTGACTGATGAGGAAGTGCTTGCATCAACTGATGTAGGAAACACAAAGCTGCCAGGTAATTTTGAACATGAAACTTTACTCATGAGTGTTGAATTGAATGAGTCTGCAACAGAAACCAGTTTTAACATTGAAGCTGCTGGCACTATATATTTAACTGATAAAGAAAATGATGCTCTAAGTTCTGTATGTAGTGAGAATGTAAATTTGACAACAGATGCATTACCAGACATTTCAGTTGAACCTTCATCATTGGTATACTCAGTATTACCAGGCTTGGATCCGAGTTTGGGAGAAATAATGCCCATTGATTCTGTATCGAATTGGCCATATCTTGAGGAGGAAGTTTTTTCAGGGCTTCTGGCAACAGAGACGGACTCCAGCAGTTCTGTGCCAATAGGTCCCTGTTTGACTGCAGTCCTGTCCATTCCAGGTTCAAATAGTGAAGATACTGCCAAATCGGAATCAAGCTTGTTTTCTGATTGTAACAGACAGTATAATTTTCATACACAGTCAGACTCAAACGATGCACCTGTGGCTATAAACGGGTTGAAGTGTCGTCTTAGCTGGAAGAAAATATTTGCTCTGTCAAAGGGTGACAAGAAGAGGAAGCAAGAAACTAAAAAAGGAGAAAACCCAAAAGTGACAAGTGAAAATTTTAAATGTGCTAATTCTGGGCAGCAATTGAAGGAATATTCTGAAATTTGCCATGCAAGTGATAATATCAAATTAGTTAATAAATGTGAGAGGTTAAATGGAAATCTGAATAGGCATATTGACTTAAAGGATGAAAGAATCAGTGGATTGGAATTAGGTCCTGCGAAAATTGAAGTTCGTTTACCTCCAAGCCCCTCACCAAGAGGTCATCTAAAAGCATGGAGAGTGATAGATGGGCCTAAAGCTGAAAGAGTTTTAGATCAGGGAGGGTCCAAAACAGTTTTATCAGATGCTTCTGCTGGAAACATTAGTTGCAGAAGTGTTGCAAGGGCTGTTGAACCATTAACTAGTGAACTGACACAGATGCCCATAGTGCTTGTCAAGAGACTCATACTGAAACGTAGATGTGATGATGACGATGATGGTGCAGGTTCTGATATGAAGAAGAAAAAGAAGAAGAAGCTGAATTGTAGAGAATTGTCAGATCCCATTACCAGGAGTTTAGGTAATGATGGCTTCACCCAAGTAACTGTATCATCTGAACAAATAGAAGTACCTGATGAATCAGTTTGTGATTTTGTTACACCACATGGCAGAAGACTGCAAGATTCAGAACACTTAAATGGTCTTCAAGAAAGGTGTGATTCAAGTAATTCCACACTGATGAACAATAGTTCTTTATCTCCGCAGATTGAAACACAAGCAGCTGTAAGGAGAGATAGCAGCAATTCAGAATCTGAAGAAGACCAAAGTTCCCATACATCGATAGAAAGCAACAGTGGAGAAGCTGAATGTTGCAAGTGTTGTAGCTCTAGTACCTGTATTTTGTCCGAAGGAAAGTGTCTAGATGGAATAGCTACACCTGCTGACACGTACAAGACACATGATGATTGTATTGATGACAGTAAACCTTTTGATATTGGCATAAATTTAAACATTAGTTATAATGAACTTCCTTCAGCTAACAGCTCTGTTTCAAGTGAAGACAATACCAAGCAACAACTACCTAGGGTAATAATTAAACGAACTGTAGGTATGGGTAATACTAACAAGTATCAAAGCTTTCTTCGCAGTGTCTCATCTAGTGATGAATCTTGTAATCGATGGCAGCCAATTGTTCAACTTGAAAGAAATTTGTCACTAGATGAGCTTGCAAAGAATAGTTCAGTGAATAATGGGACACTTAAAGCTGCAAAAATGCCTGATAATTTACGACATGGACTCAAAATTAGTCTCAAATCTGCCCCTGGTCATCCTTATGTGACATTAGTTCCATTACCATCATTACCTTGTAGCCCTGTGGATAAAAATAAGAGTCATTCAGAGAGAGCCAAGAAACGGAGATGTGGAATAATTCCATCCAGAATAAGATCACGGCATGGTGATGTAAATCATTGGAATCCACAAAGACGTGCAAGAAAATTTACCTCTCTGAAATCATCATCATTTTATGTTAGGCATGATCATGATCCATGTCTCATGTCATTACCAACAGATAATAGACAACTACCAAGTCCAAAATCATGCCGCAGTCAAAGAAGTCCCCCTATTAAATTAAAATTGTTTAACGGCTCTAGCAGAGTGAAAAATGGAACTTTAAAAATGGACAAAAACATTAGTGTTACAGGGAATTGTGGTGATGGTGGAGACGAATATGTAGTTGTTGAAAACAGAAATTATACCAAAGATAGTATGACAAAGATAACATTCCAAAGGCATAAAAGGAAAGAAGTTTCAGTCAGAAAGGAATGTAATGAAATTGAGATGAAAGTGAATAAATTTAAGAGTGACTTGGACATACCAGCTGTACCCGATAAAAACATATTATCAGTACATGAAATTGAAACTATATGTTCAGAAGATAGCAGTAGTATTTATGATTTGACTGTGCCTTCACAAGGAACTGTTCAAAGGAGATTATCCATTGAATTTGACCAAGAGACATCAAAAAAAGAACTACATCATTTTCATAAGAAACACATGCCAAATATAAGTCATGCCATTGACTCATCAGGGCAAGAAATTGCTACTGTACTGGAGGATACTGGTGATATGGTGTCAGAGGACTGTTCACAAAGTGATGCAGCCATACTGAATTACATGCCATCTGCTGCACTGCAACCAGAGACTGTACAGTCCAGAGCAGCTTTACATGATGGTTACCCAAAAATCTCTAAAACAAAAAAAAGACAGTACTTTGACGATGTATATCTTGACAAAGATGTACTTCCTCTATTTCAGCCTGATAGAATATTATCAGTTTCATCTACAAAGAAGAAACAATCAAATCCAAAAATGAAATGTCCGAAGTTAGATGGGAAAGCATTAGAGGAAGAGATCATAAGCCTAAGTGCAGATGTCCACATGGATTACAGTGATATTTTTTGTAAGCAAGTAATGGATGACACAGTTGTAAAATCCAAAGGAGGACAAAAGTGTTCAACAGAAGGGTGTTTTGGAACATATCCTAGGGCTGAAGAATGTCCAGAGGAAACATTGAGCAGCAAAGATGATGGGCTTGTGCTGGTCAGTTCTTCAAAGGAATCAGAGCCTGAATTGCATGTACTGAATGACTGTGGAACTGAATGTGTTGGTAGTTCGAGTATATTGGAAGAAGAGGAAGAACAGAAGCTGTGGAGTGACATTCAACCCAATGTGGTAGAATCAACCGAACAAGGGGACGATGCTTGTCAAGCCTGTGGCCATATTTACAGCAGCCGTGATGAGAGGACATTACACATCCGTCGACATCCATATCACTGTCAGAGATGTCATCTTGCATTCAAATCAGAGGCAAGTGCAATATAATCTTATGATTTGTTAGTGTTTTGGAGATATTAGCAGTCTTCACTTTTAGGATTAAATGATTGGGCATTTTGACAGTTGTATAGCACTGCCATATAGTATGTGTTGACTAGATCTGCTGTCATTTGGTAATGATAGTAGCTGAACAAGACAGGGATAGGAAGATTGTTTGGTCTGTTGCTTACATGAAGGAGTGCAGTTGAGCCCTGCAGCATGTAAAATCTGCAAGTTCCTCCCACTTGACAAAATTACATTGTGTGATTGTGGAATAGTTCTCTTAAAGCCTCCACAAATGAGGATTTAATGGTCATGGAATTAGGCCTAAAATCTATAGTGGAGAAGATTTAATCACAGTGGTGTAACCTTTATATGTGATGTGGAGGATATGTTACTGTTGAAACTTGTTTTAAATTAAACCTTAGTTATATATGTTGGTTCAGATTGTTTGATTTTTTGACAATATAAATAACCAGTGTAGTGAAGGTAACTGTAACCCCTTGAAGCTCAGTAGTTGCTGTTTGTGCCACCTTCTTTAACACGTGTTTTGCCCATGGAGTGTATTTATGGGTTTCATATGGTTCTCAGAATTAACAGTGATTATTCTGCTAAATGGCATTAGCCAGTTGTTCTTATAATGGAGATGGGTTGTGTTTTCTTTAGGTAAACTGAATTTTTAAATATTATTTACATGAGCTTTAGTTTCAAAGGCTTAAACATGAAAATGAATTCAGGTGGACTTTGTGAGTCATCTCTCAGAACGACATCCTCGGACGAGAGAGCGACATCATTGCTTGTTGTGTGAGCGCAGTTTCCCAACAGCTGAGCGCTACAAGCTACATCTGTCAGGTCGCGCACATCGTCACCTGGAACTCACCCAGCGTCGCACCATTCACACTCTGTTCTCCATCTTCACTGGACACAGCTGCCCCGTGCTGACTCCTCTCTCAGACAGTGAACTGGCAGGTCTCAAATGGTTCCCTGTGGAACCCGGAACTATACACTTTTACCATCAGGCCACACCCCTGCAGCGTGCCATGCAGGTAAATTATTTCATATTTTATAGTGAAATGTTTACAGTATTATTCAGGATGATATGTAGTGTTTGGGATTTTTCACAGATTTAGCTTCTTTTCTTCTTAAAAAAATACTGATATGGGCTGCTTGTGATGAGATTTGATGTGTTAGTTGTCTTGATATTATAATGTGTAAGAACTTGCTCTTTATGTGTATTTTTTCTTATATTATGTTGGTGGCATGGAAATGAGGTAGGGGTGAGGAAGTATAGCTTCTACTTGTTCTTGATGTTGGCACTAGATGGGGACGAGTGGTCAGCATCACACCCCAGCCGCACTTTACCACTGGGGAAAGGATCTCTGGTACTCATTAGATACGAGCCTGGGTTTGGCTCCAGTCCTAGTCTGGACATAGAGACTAGAAGAAAAATTCTTTGCCCGTGCTGGGGATTAAACCCCAGTCATCTAGCCCATAGTCATTTATTATACTGACTGAGCTATTTCAGCTCTTTCTTCACAGCTGTGAGAGACCATGATTCACAGTCATGTGAAGGAATAGATAATTTCTTTATATAGACACCAATTTCCACTGATTTGGCCATGGTTTTGGTTGCACGGAAATTGGAAACATAACTGCATATTTTAATGTGATGGGAATAAAGTTTTTTTGGCTTACCATAATCAGAGTTGATTCTGTAACTTGATGTGACATGTACTCTGGACTGTGATTTAATGCACGTGTTATCAACCCGCAGCTCACTGGCCTCATGCAGCCCTGTATCTTTTGTGCTACCCACCTACGTGTTTGTGATATTGTATCACTCTGTATAATGAAAATATTAACATAATGAATTATAAATTTATTTTAAGTTAATAATTAATTAAAATAACATCAGTTTTATTGATGAACATTTTCGAGTAATTTGTGAACTTGTTTGCAGTAGTAGGTTTAATTGCAACAAAATTATAGCAGGATTATAACAGTTTTCTTATCTGAATGTTTACAGCCACTTCTTGCATTTATTGTACTTTCAGTTTATTTAAGAATCTTATTTTTGTTTATTTCTATTATGTTTCCACAGGTTTAAAATTGAAACTTTATAAATAATTCATTGCCTATAGCCGCATGTTCCTGAAAGGTATTAAAATAATGTTGTATGGCCTGAATGCTATCCCAGAACTAAACTGGTGAATGCTAAGTTAATTGTTTTTATTTATTTATGTATTTGTTGTTGCTAGGACTTGCTGTTACAGAAGGAAGGGAGTTACACTGATGCTGCAGGGAGCAACAATAGAACACCAGAAGACTACCCATCCAAATCTGGTGATTCATCATGAGTAGTTGTGTGCAAATGTAAAATTGCAAGTATGACAATATGCATGAGATTTTATACAAAATCAGAGTTGTTACATATATATTAAGATATTTTCAGATGAAATGCTCGTTTCATGAACTTGAAATTTATTTTTAATGCACATTTTAGATACAAGTATAGTTACCTTTGGATGGTGTAATAACCATATGTATGTTTTGAAAAAATATGAAGTAAAGTCATGGTATGTTGAGGAGTGTTACAGAGCACTGTAGACTCTATTGGAAAGATCTCATTTAGATACTACCTTTTTAACATAAATTGTTATTGTTTGTCAGTCATTCCTTCTAATAATGTTTTTCAGTTAAGTTTGGAGTAATTCAGAATGTCTCAAATGGTTTATCAGTTTGTACTATTGTTTCCTGACTTGGGCTGCCTTCAATGAAACTGGAGTAAATAGTATTGATCATGGAAGTCATCAAGTTTTCATGGTTTGCTGAGACTTGCATATTTATTTTTGGTTGGTGACAATCCTGTGATAGGCTGGTATGCCATTGTTTTGTGGAAATTAATATTCTTGTTCTTCAGAGCAAGGTTACTGATCTCTGTTATTATTGGTACTTGTCTGAAGGGCTGTGGAAAATATGTTGATCATTTGAATCTGAAGATGGAACCTCCAGTTTCTTCAAAATGTTGGCACACTGCCCTCTCACAACATGATGGATGTCGCTTATAACATGAAAATGCAATTTTTAATTTTTACAAGGGCTGTTCAATAAACACTGAGAATGATTTTTTAAAACATTCCCCCTTCCAGATATATGACTTGAAAGGCAAGACAGTTGTAGCTTGTAATCAAGGTCACAGCACAAGCACAATTAATCATGCAGCAACCTGTAACTTCAGAAAGTGATTCATACCTGTCAGTGCTACCAACTACAATAAATCCAAGTTCACTTAAAACTTCCTAAATCATTCTCAGTGTTTATTTAACAACCCTTGTAGTTACATTTTATTATATTTGTTTTTGTCTGTATGGGAAATGAATCACGAAGTTCAAGGGTCTTGTATGCACTTCATATTTTAATGTGGTTGTAGATATGCTTAGGTCATAACCATAACCCATACTAAAATTCATCTGGTTTGGTCCAGTATATAAAACTGACATGCTTGAGGGTATGGCTGATTGTTTACCATTTGAATAAGAAATTCAGTGCAAGAAATCAAAAGCTTGTTGTTAGTACAATGTAATTGCACCTTTTCAAATGTGACTCTTAACCTGATCATTAAAACAGTCTTTCATAGACAGAGTGCTAGAAAATGTTGACCTGAAGAGTTTCTTCATGATAATTTTCTATAAAAATAATTTGAATTACTGCAAATTGTAAACATTTGCACACACTATGCCTTTCACTAAGTGCATTTGTTGTTTTATTTTCTTCATGTTGTATGGAGGATATGACTGTTGTTTGAATGAAGCTATTGATGTAAATGTATTTTGCTATGCATCTAATTTTAAATGTGTACAGTCTAGTTACAAGTTGCAACAGAGTTATTTAATAGGAACCTTTTCTTGTCATGCAAATGATCTCTTTGAGGATGCACTGATTCCTGTACTGTTGTGGGGTTCTAATGTAAGTTAAAGGAACCATCATGTATATGAGTATGTATATTTAAGTGCTTTCTGTTCCCTGTATATTATTTTGCAATTTCAGCATAATGATGATGAATTCCAGACTGTACTTAAAGGGTTTATTGTTTCAATCCCCCTGTCCCACCTCAGAAAGTTAATGGGAAGATGATAGTGAGAAAATTTGTTTATAATGAAAGTATTCACCTTTCAAGCCAATTTTTAATAAATCGGGTTGTAAGCTGTGTCAATTAGTTAAAAGTCAATGACATTTCAGGGCTGTGGTACAGGTTATAGCCTGAGAAGATTGTATTAATGTTAGCCATGAAAACTTTAAACCAAAAGTTTTTGTTAACTCTGTGTTATACTGAGTGGATTTTCATGAAATTTGATGATGTGGAGTTTTAGTGAAATTTGTTAAAACATTGCAGGTTTATCTAAGTTTGGATAACAATAATTCACACTTTGTGTGAAAACCTATATGTGCTTTATTCTGCATGTTGAAATGACAGGGTGGGAAATCTGCAGGAACTTTTGTTACTGTAGCTACCGTGGTATCCTTCTGAATCCCAGCCAGCTACACCACCTCGTGGAAGAATTCTCTGTGATGATGTCATTACCCAGACATTTGGGTGTTAGACACCCTACCCATGCAAAAGTGAATGACCGCAGACATCTCTCACATCACTGGCTGTATTCACAAAGGAAAAATTCTGTTGAATGTACCAGAGTGATTGCCCTATGCATACATTTCATAACTTATAGGATTTTACAAAAGCTTTGTTGTGATTGCATATAGTACAGAGGAATTGTTCAGTTCTGGTTGGAGTTCAATCAGCAGTAATCATTTTCATTGTGACTGATACTACTTAAAATTAAAAGTGTGCAGCCCTCTCCTCATTAATGTAGAAATTTGAAATTAGTATCCATGGGAACAAAAGTACTTACAATTAACATTTAAGCATGAGTTTAAAACACTATGGAAATTTGAATTCAGAATTTCGTTATTCTAATATTTGACGTACACAGTGAAGCTGTGTATTGCAGTTGTCCAATTTTGTGTTCTAAAGAATTCCTCAACAGCTCCCTGCAAAATCACAATTTCACGGAATCACTGTGTGAGTTCCTTTTTGTCTCCTTGGTCATTACCGGTAACTTATTTGTTACATGGTTCTTAGTCAGACAAACAGTGTGTACTCACTGTGTATTATTGGTGGTTCCCAATTTGATTTTACTGTGACTTCTGTAAAACCTCAGGCTTAATTTTTTAGCACTTCTGCTTTGAAACAGGTAAGCCACATAATCTGCAGTTGGAAAATACTGCTGCATGTGGGGTGTTGTTAATGCAGCAGTTTAAGTATAGTGTAGCTCTGTTGTAACATTAATGTTAGGTTGAGACTGTCCTGTGCTGCATTATATAGTGTAGCTTGGTGGATAATGCAAATGGGAACCTGCTCAATTATTGGGACCAAAACAAAAACATGTACAATGGAATTAACTGTGTTGCTTGAATTCATGGAAGAGTTTAATCTATATATGTATATATATACACATAGAGATATATATTTATGTTATGTATATAATTGCAATGTTACAAAATGTCTATTTGATGTTGAGAGATGCCCTGTTCTGTAAGTTCCTAGTTTTAATTGCTAAGATTGCTTTTTAAATCAAACTGTCATGCAAATTATATGAGTATCATGCTGTGGAAGAAAATTGTTGACATACAGGAGCAGTGGAGTTGCATGCAGTTGCATGCAGTTTATGATTACACCACTGAGACTTGTGTATTTAATACAGTTCTTTCGTATATTGAGTTTCTTGCCTTCTACTGAGTCCATGTGAGAATTTTTTCACCTTTTTGTATTTCGATGAACATTATTAACATCTTGTGCATCATAGTATTACCTTCCTTTGATCCCAAATTTCTAAGATTTTCACAAATATTTTCAGTAGCAAGTTTTCAGCATTTCCTTTGTGCTACCTTGGCTACAGCAGGTATTGTTGGCCAATACTTGCTAAATCTGAAAACTTTTCAATCTCAATTTATTTTTATGTGTAGTCAGAGATAGCAAGCAGCACATAACATTTTCTAAAGCTAAGGAAATTTAGGTACTAGTATATTATAACTAAAGCAAACTTATACACTTCTAGCTGCATGTAATTGTGCATATTAATAAAGGGTTGAGTTCAAAATACACATGTGCAAACCAGAAGTACCCTTTTTATTCAAAATTTGAGTTTCTTTCATATTGGATGTTGAATGAGTACAACTCTTCTTCTAGTGCCATTTGAATATGTTTTGACACGTTATCATCTATCTTGCCTTAATACAGACGTTTTTTCTACATTCAGTCACATAGATCATCGTAGTGTCAGATGAGAAACTACATGATTGAATGATTGATCAGGAAGAGGGTGGAAGGAAACAGATGAAACCTCAGGATAGTTATTCTGATAGTTGAGATTTTATATCATTCCAGATATGAAGTATGAGTTCCAACTATTTACATCACACATCTTTATTACATTCCATGGATCCAGAAGTTAGTCAGATGACAATAGGATGTGTGTTGATAAAAGTAATAGAAAATCATAGGATTTTAATGAGGGAATAAACAAATATGTTTGTTAAGAAAAATAATAGTGATACTGTAGTAGAAAGTATGCTTCTCCCAGTCTTCTTTTCTTTTATCATTTTGCTGTACATCAGTTTAAACAAGTCAAGGTTGTATCTGTGGAGCTTGGTAACAAGGGCTTAGGTCAAATGTAATTTGTATTTACTTAAGCAGTTTTACTGAGCACCTTAGATATGTAAAGAGTATGAAAGACCTCAGCATTCAGTTAGAGAACTGAGTCTTACGTTGTGTTTTTGCATGAAGTGTGCTCATGGAGTTGACAGAATTATATCCATAGTCAACTAACGATTAAGATCTGAAAGTTTGTAATTCAGCTTTATGCAGTTCACTTTTTTGATATGTATATTGAGTTTTGGATAAGTAGATGTATAAGTGAATATTCACAAAGGCAAAAAAATTCTTAATTCTCTCACTACTGCAGACTTTCATAGAATTGAATAACTTTTTAGAGGAGAGACCTCTGTAGCCAACTGTTGAAAAGTATTGTGTTAACATACAAATGGATTATGTACAATAGAAAACCTTGCTGTAAGCATCAGCCATGTTTGATCATGGCAGGCCTAGCAGAATCTGCCTCACTGGCTTAATCATGTAATATTAGTCAAATATTGTAGAGCAGGCATGTCATACTCTGTTTCTATAAAGGATAACTTAAAAAACATATGAATGTTCCAGGGGCTATTAACATGTGGGGGAATCATAACTGCATACTTTAAATTCCAGGCTTAAGCTTAAGGCACATTTTTCCACATGCACACACAATTGTGAATTGTTGAAACACTTTTTTGCTGTATTCAAATGAAATAAAAATAGCAGTACACAAATAGCTATTTAACATCCAGTTGAAACTTAAATTGTATTTGAATTGGGACATTTGGAGGCAGTTTATCATGTATAGTTGAGAACTAAAATGTATTAAAATTCAGACATTTGGCATAGAACATTATTTATGATTCAAGAACTATGTCAGGCTACATAAAATATCGAAGAGGGCCATGAGTTTGACATGTCTGCTGTAGAGCACTTCATGAATTAAATGTGTTTTCAACTGTTTACTTTTATTAAATAATCGTATCTGTTTGAGGTTCCTTGTTGTTTCTCACACATTTTATATCTCTTGTGTGAAGACAAGTTAAAGTGTGGAGTTTTGATTGAGATGTAATGTAATCCCTATACACAATTTTAAAGGGGGAGGCATGGAATCAAATTCAAAACAGGAAGGCATAAAGACTTTGATATAAAGTATGAAATATGGACATGGGGGAGACTGTCATGTAATAATTATCATGATTTAAGACTAATTCTGTGACAATGTTGCACCTCATATTGAAGAAGAAATTCTGTAAATTTTATGTGATTTAATGATGGTCTATCAACTGCAGTGATTATGAACTTAATGTTTATGTGTTTGACCGAAACCAGTTTTGTTGCAGGAGAAAAATGCAGAAAGCTGTTTTACCAACCAGGTGACTCTCACCATTGTTATAATCCTGTGATAATAATACAAAATCAGTGGACTACATGGTATTTTAAAATACTGAATTGAAGATAACAAATTAATAAATTCTGTGTTTTATTTGTTTTTTTATACAGTTGACTATATTACATTTTTGTATGCACTATTCAGTGAAGAAAATAATATGAAATATCTTTCTTTTTTACAATATAAAGAAAATATTGTTACCGTCGTAGATTTTAAGTCACAATGTGGGCATAATGTTTTTGTTTTGTAAATATTTGTATCATATAAATTTATTATATCATAAGATTTCTGCAGATTGTTAAGTTTCCATATTGAGTGCAGTATGTTATTGTTTTTGTTACCATATGAATATTTAAATGCTGCCAGAAGTGTAGCATGTATATTTTTTTAAAAATAGATTTGGACAGAGTCATGCACTAAAGCATCATTTACCCTCTTCCTAATGGTAATTTATGAGTTATATAGATGCATTATGTCATCTGCATTGTTTCAATCATTAGGAAGCATGTTATGATGTTGTAGGCTATGCAGTACCAGGCTATTTCATAAGAACTGGATGTTGATAAACCCTCTTTGCCCAAGATATGAAACAAAAAGTCTTGAAAAACATTCTGTATTGTTTGCCATCTCTTAGATGTTATATGAATTGATGTGCAATAGGAAAGCAATCTCTAAGCAGTGGCCAAATCGGATCACTGCAGGCATGCAAGAACATGTCACTTTGGCTTATTTGTTTCAGTTG